GAGTGACAAAATCACAGATAGGAACCATCAACAGAGAATGATAAAACATGAAATTGATGAAATTGATGTGAAGTCTTTTTACACGACTATGGACACATGCCACAATCATTCGGACAAGGGGTGCGGCGGGGTGGTTGCTTGCAGATGCATTGAAGAGAAGCTATTCCGTATAAGGAATCTTTCGGAAATTATTCGGCGGAAAAATTGAGCAAACCTAAAGATCTAACAGACGTTGTAAAGATGTTACACTAGAAGACATCCCAATTTTTTCGGATACCATTCAGCGTTTCTTCTTTCTTAAACATCTTTTAGACCTGTGTGCTGTTCCGGAACTTTTTACACAGAAACTGGCAAAAGGGGGCGGGTTTTATGGCCCACTCCTATACAGGTCGAGCGCGTGTAACAGCCTAATATTTGACCATTAATTTGTAATGTAAAGAGCTTCTAATCGCGAGACGCGGGTGATCGTACTGTTCGCGTAAACTACAATTAGCGGATCGTATGAGTCAAGCTCGGCTGTATGAGCCTCGTCATTCGTAGTCACATGTTCGAATTATTCACCTCCCTTGAAATGAAGGAGTCGCTGTTTCATTGATGGCACGAGTAGAAACTACCACTATTTCCTGGATCTACGAGTTTCGTTAGCAAAGCTGAAGTCATACGAGTGTATGATATTAAGCAGATAATTTATACGTTACCGTCTCGGAGCCGGCAGCGGTAACCAATTCCTGTAGGGCCCTCACCGAGAGGGCCTGCTCTATCACGAATACGCATTGCGACAAGTCCGGTGGTATGTTCTGGAAGAGAAGAGGGATTAAGTATGCACAAAGACGAGATAAGAGACGTTGTTTGCGAAATTTGCACACTCGCTTTTACCTTATCTGCGATATTTTCGAGAAAACAGTGTCGATTACCGAAACCCTCGGCTGCCAGGCAGACCCTCTCTCCTGTTGCGGTACAGGACAGGCATACCATATCCTCCTGTAAATTTTAGATGATATCTTTATGTGTGTTCTGCATAACAATGATCTACTTTATTTTTTAAGGAAAGCGAACTTCACCTTTATGTCACGTTATGACATACTTGAGTATAGCATATAATTCAATTCATTGTTTATAATTTTCATAAAAATAAACATATTGCGAAATTCTTTTCAATCCAAACGTCAAATGGCATTAAGAAATATAATGATATCTAGTAAATGTTATATGTATCTTTATTAATAAAAATGTTATAGGCAATGTGGAAAAAGCATTGGAAAAAAGTTGCCATACCCAGAATTGCATTGATGAGCATTAAAATGTTAATTTTAGAATAATTTTATAAAATTTCTGAAAAAAATAATTTATTGTTCAAGTAGATCTTCAATAATTACTTTAACTATATGTATATATATGTGTGTGTTTGTATATATATATATATATATATATATACATGTATACAAATATTTCCATTGCTTTAAATTCGAAATTTATGTTAATCGCAATTAAAAAAGATCTTGACACAAATTTCTCTCGAAATTGCATCGCGTTGATGTTTGCTGTGTTGCAATAATATGCAATACCACCTAAGGATTGTGCAATCCACAACAGAAATGGTTCCACGATGTAACGATCCGTAGAATTTTGTGGATATGGAATCAAGGTTCAATGAAGATGTCGTCAGATAACGAACTGATATCATTGATCTGAATGATATCATTTTAAAAAGCATTTTCACTGCGATAGTAATAATTAGCTTTTGCGAAATCATATGAATTATGATGCCGGCCGAACTACAGAATACGGCCGCCGTGCCAAAACCAATTTGGACGACCTCAGGAATGCATGAGGACCGGACATACACAAGTATATCGGCTTCGAATGCACCTTGTAATTTTTGGACGTGTCATCGCGAGAAGTGGAAAACGGCGTTATTTAATACAGGTTTGCAATAATATCGCGCCTCGAAAGCTCGTCGAGTGAGTCACTCAATTTGCGTCCGATTTTACCCTTAAATGCGTAGACTTTATTCATCTTTGTATTCAATTTTACTCTGTACTTTGAATTTTTTCTAGCTCTATCCTCTTTGCCCTTTTCTGTAGTTGCAATCTCAAAATATTAATTTCTTACATCGACGGTTTTATTTTTCTTTACACTCGGTCAGCTATTGTAAACAAGAATTATGTATTCATGCCCTTTAACTTTAACTTAAGACACGATAGAGAAAAAGGAAAAAAAGAATAGTTAATTGAACGATAAAATGAATAAAAAATATATGAGAGCGAATGTAGAAGCCGGCAAAACTCGAAAGTCTCAGAGAAAGTTGTCTTTTATCTCGTATTTCTGTAATATGGTTAGATCAGATGACTTCATTACTCAATCGGTACACACCTATATATAAATTACATATGATGAGTTGCTAAGATAAGATTGTCCCGTATTTAACAATTTCCAAGCCCAGTTTAATGGTATGAGGAGAAAATTAATACGACAGCCTAGCAATCATCTAAGTGCTTTCTTTTTTACCTTCGTTCTAAATAAAGTAATGTGTAATCCAATTAAAAATCTCATATTAAATTATATAACTGTTATCGCAAATACATATATAAAACATTTTCAGAAAATGTTATCTTTATTTTATTATTAAAGAAAATGTTATCTTTATTATATTATTAGAAAATTACAGTACATTGTATAAACTTAAAGTAGATTAAACATGCACGCGCGTTTATCAGTTTTTAATTAAAAAATTGTTAGTACCTGCAAGCAATTTGTACTTGAATTATTCTTCAATTTGCGTTCAATTATTTTTCAATCGCTAATCAGTACGATTTATTGACAATCAAGAATGTGATAACAACGTATCTAAGGCAATCAACCGATTATAGAGTTAAATCGATTGCAGAACCCGGCTCGCAGGACCGTTCGTGCAAATGAAATTGCTTTGCACCACCGTATTAATCGTATCCTACTTGTGTCGTCACCACTACATTCACTCTTTTTTTCTCTCTATATTTTAGTAAGAATATAATCCGAATATTCTCGGTTATCGGATGCAATGCGACGGTGGGTGTAACTAGGAACGGGCACGCACATTCTTGACTTGTTTAAGTTTAAAAGAAATTGAAATGCAACGGAGAGAAATGCATAAATAATGTTAAAGGACACATTAACATAACTTCTTGCTGGGTTAAACGAAATGGCACGCGATTCGCCATGTGAGATCGTATATTTACTTTTGAAACACGCGAAGTACCGAAAGTTTCTGCTGGAAATTTGGCAAGAAATCCTAATCTTGTTTATCGAGATATTAATAAAATGCAATCGGTCAATTCGCTGATGACGCGGATTATGATTCATAAATTGCTAACGTTAATTAGATATATTATATGAAGAAATATTTGTATTCAAAATATTTTCCAATTCGTGATTATGATTCCATATAATGTACGCGATAAAATAAAAATTAAAAACTCTCTATTATTTTAATTTTTTTTATTATAATTGCATCAAACATGTAATCCAATTTCTTCCTGTGGTGTTTAAAATATTGATTTTACTGTTAATAAATGTAACATCAGAGATTATATGGAAACACATAAATAAGAGTACATAAGATTTTATATTTAATTTTTTCTCTTAACATTAAAATAGAGTTGTTTGTAATTTAGTGGATGAACGAGCGCGACGTATGCATTGATAATGAACCAAATACATCGTTTACTTCCGGCGTCGGTTGACGATCGAAACACATATTGCGGTATAGGTCAAGGATAAACCTTCATTTCACAAGCAGATAACTCCTACAATTCCATCAAACCGACGAATAATCATAAATCATATTTAACCTTTTCATATTTATATTGCACATTTCAAGATTTTTTATTCAGATGTACAGAAAAAAAGTTAGTGCGTGATATGAGAAAGTTATCACATACACGATTGAACATATTTAAAAAAAACTTAAACATTGTTAAAATAAAAATCCTGAAAATATAAATTTATTTAAAGCAATCCTTTCTAAAAATTCGAAGCTTGATTTAATCCTTTCCAACTAAAATTTACTCAAGTTAACTTAACAATTCGTTGCTTCCTTTATTCATGAGAAATATCAGCATAAAGTGATCGTTTGATAAACATATCGATAAAAAATGAGCCTCGTGACGGCACCATTGAGCTGGAAGAAGCTTTAGAAAGGTGTACCCATCGTGCGTGTGGTATATCGTTTGTTGTTCGATACGCGGTGCATCCGACGCACGCTGCATCGCGGTATATTAATTATAAATTCATCACTTTTCGATGCGACATCACTAATGAAAGCTACGCGAGCTGACAGCTATCGATCAGACAGAACAGCGTCACATTAAATTCTAAAATTAACTAAAAGCGACTAGCTTTGAAGAAGCGACTTTAAAGAAGAACCACGATAAAACATATGCGATATGTGCTGGAAACTTCGCTAGATTTCTATGCGCGCGACGTGCATAGCACGTGTTGCAAAGTACTGTCAGCAAACTGCACAATGAATCACTCGACTATGAGTGTCTCCTCGAAGGCGGCATTAAGGTGAAACGTAATTAATTAAAAGTTATATCTACTTTAATGAAAGAATTTTGAAATATTATTACATTGTTACCCATACTTTTTTACTTTATCTGCAAAAATTTGAGTAATTTATTTTTTTTAACTTGAACAATTAATTTTTCCTAATCTTAAAGTTGCATTAGAATTTTTTTTTATTCAAACTTTCTCTATATGAATTAACTAATCGTAGTAAATTAAAATTTAATTTTTCTTAAATAATTATCTTGCTAAGAAGCAATTTTTACGACGAAGTTGAAATGATCGCAATTACAAAGTTACATGCAAATTTAACTTTGCACGCGGGACTAACCGTATCCCAATGTCGAGCGCGCACACTTTTGATATATGATTCTATTAGAAAATTCTTGTTATCGCAATGTTGATAATCGATAGGACCTACTCATCGACTATTCTCGAGCGTGCGAAGTGAGAGAATTAAATTCGTAGAGCTTCGAATGTTTTTGTGCGGACATTTCACTTTCTTTTCAATACCAAATCAAATTATCAAGTAAAAATTGTAACAGCGAATGATGGATCCTAATATTTATGAAAGCACATTTGATGACAGGTGAGCGATATTCCGTACTTGACTGTCGTATTCGGGTACGTAATCCATTCGTAGGAAAGGTAGCCTGTCGAAAAGTGCGGATGTGACGTTTCATATAAGAACACGAATAGTTTCCTGGTCTCCGTCGATTTTACACTGCACGTTATCGTGAGGTGAATCTAACGGAAATGTATCTTTGCACGCGATTTCACCACATCGGTTTTTTAAGAACGTGAAAGGCTATTTAACCTCGCGAAGATAGCACCCGTGTTGATAATCAAAGCCATCCTTCCGGAGAAGAAATCGATTTTTTTACTCAACGTTCCGTATGCTTTATGTATACAAGATGTTCCAGAAATTATAATACAACCGAGAAGGAGGTGATTAGTACTTGTGTAAAAGTAAGTAAAAAATATAGAACAAATTTTTTCGTATAGAGTGTTTTGTATTTTAAAAAATCAAGTTTGAATATTCATTAAATACACAAGTACTTAACTAGCTACAATTTGCTTGATTCATTCAATCACTATTCAGTGCTATTTTTAGGCCAATCTGAGTTTGATATAATTTAAAATAATGTAATAAATTTCAATAATGTATTTATTTTATTAATTGAAAAATTATTAAAAATGTATGAAAAAATTTTATACTACATTTTAATTAATTTTTTTTACTTGAAGAATTATTTCCTTCCCGGTTACGATTTCCAGAACATCCTGTGTATACTTCATGGTGATAAAATTTGCGCTCGCTGATCGTAAAGTGAGTCAAATAGCAGTCGACAAACGACTTTGAAGAAAAACCAGAAATTTTGTGAAAATCAAGCATTTTGATCGTTTTAATCATCGGTAATACATATTGCGCTAAATGCATAATAAAAATGCGCATTAACAATTAATTTGGAGAGAATATTAACAATTTGTTTGAACTAAATATTATAGATGTTAATTAATTTGTATATATTTGTATGCATTATAATTTACAATTAATTGTAATGGAATACGATAATGAGATAAACCAGTTAAAACCCTTTGCAGAGGTGTTTTTGAAGAAACGGATAAAAAGGTGAGCGAACAAAAGAAGGAAGCAGATGCTGAGAAAGCACGTTTGGATCGGTGCCGACGAAGGGCCGAAAGAAAAGCTATATGCCATTGTGGCCAGGGATCTAGAACTAGAACTAGATCTAGATCTAGAAGGATAAGACGAAGAATTATCTCACAGAATCCCTATATCATCTTTTATCTTGAGATGTATTATAAAATGCCTGGCAAACATGTGACAGAAGTCGCCCGTCAGGCTGGCAAGGAATGGTGCGCTTTGCCTCAGGAAGAGAGGATGAAGTACATACGTCTGGCAGAAAGAGAAAAGAAAAGACGACGAAGGTCTGGGAGGGGACGGAGGAGGATAAGAAGAAGACGCAGGAGGATAAGAAGAAGACGTGGTCGAGATAGTGATTAAACATTCTAAAAAAAAATCCGTTAGTTATTACAAAAGAAGCAAAACATATATAATACGAAAAATATGAGAAACTAAAAAATAAACTATGACCGATAAAACAACATATCGAAAATTTCTGCTTGTTGAAACACTTTTATAACCTTTAAATTTTTATTTTATTTCAAAGTTGCAGAACGAAATATTATCAGTAATACATTACTATGTGTATACACCTTTGGTATATATATATTTTAGGATTTTAAAGCGAGTTTTAAATAAAAATGAAAAAGAATAGTAAAATGGTTGTAATGAACACGAAGGAAATACGCAATTTTGTACAATTTGTGACCAATTTTGTGTGATGAGTTGAATATTTTTGAAATTGTACAATTTGTAAACTTCGTTTTTATGAAATATATATTATTTTTATTAAATATATACTTATTTAAAAATTTAAATTTAAATGCTAATGAAGTGTTAAAAATAAAACATAATTAGTAGTTTATAATTATGGAAAAATATTTGCATTTGTGAAATATTTAAAATGTCTGCATATAAATTTTACTTCGTATGATAATTAATTATAAGTATCAAATAAATAGATAACATAAACATAAATTAAATATTATGACGCAATGACACAAATACAAGGCTATATTCACGCGCATGATCTCTGTAGGTCGAACGAGGTCAAGGTTGTGCTGCAAGGTATTTTAAGTGCTTCTGCGTTTCGTTAAAATCACATACGATTTTTCTTGTTATAACTTTCCACGTAAAAAATTGGATGCGAACATTTAAATTGAACACATAAATTGAAAATACTCAGGCAAACTATTCTGAAATTTACTTAAAGTTAAACCCGTCATCAATATAGATTACTAAATTATTTCTACAAACATCAACTAACAGTGCAGTGACATGATTATTAATTATAATTTCCAATATAATTGTTATATACAACTTGTATTATATTACAGTTATATTGTTGAATGGGAAATTGTAACTAACAGTTATATTATTGTTAGTTCGAATTTACTGAGTATTAAATAAATACTTCGTGATTTTAATTTTTTTAAAAAGTACATTGTAATTCGATTTAATTGAAAACATAATGTGTTACATAACTTTAATTATTAAATTTCTAGAATTAAACATTTTTCAGATTAATATAATAAAAATAGGGCTACGAGCCAAGCAAGGTCTTAGTGCTGAGTTATCATAAAACAAAACAGTTTATTTCTACATACGTTTCGACCCTAATTGGGTCATTTTGAATGTTAAAATTGGTATAATATAAAAATCAAATAATCATTCGAACAACAATCTTAACCTTCTACTAATAATTGATGTACATACACTACGTTTAATCTTTTATATTAGTTTTTAGATTAGGTTACATGTATTGTTTTAAGATTGTTATTTGAATGATTATTTGATTTTTATATTATATCAATTTTAACATTCAAAATGATCCAATTAGGGTCGAAACGTATGTAGAAATAAACTGTTTTGTTTTATGATAACTCAGTACTAAGACTTTGCTTGGCTCGTAACCCTATTTTGATTATATTAATTTTTTAATTATTTAAACCTTTGTTTATATATTATTTTTCAGATTATTGTATAACGTCTCTAGTCTATATTTCTGCCGAGATGCATTATAGAAATTTTAAGTTAACGAAGCTATAATATGATAATATTATCATTGTACTGCATCAGTGCAGTACACCGGCTCGCGCAATGCATATAGTCTGTCCACCTCTTGTAGTGCAAACAAACTTCCACCAACTGCATCGGCATTCATTCATTTTCACACATACACATCAATGAATCATTGAATACGAATCACCTCCGCGTTCTCACGCGCTTTTAGCGAATACACTGGCTGTTATATTAACACTCGATTCGTTTCAAATCTATCGATAAACATCACCTTTACACCTTTCATATCACGTCCATCTTTTATGTGAACTTTGCAGAGTTATTAATGAAGCTACTTGATCTTTGTCCAGTTTATCACGAATAGATTCGTTGAAGCGAGAAATCATGTGAACCCTTTTTGATATTCATTAGTTATTTAAATAACGTACATTGTTGAATAATGTAGGGTCCAGTAAAGAAAAATAATTATAATTAAATTGTTAATAAAAAAATACACATTAATAAAAAATGCGCTTCTGATTTGCATGAAAAAAGAGATCAGAATTCTTTTCACGTAAATTCATCTTTCCAGCCTTGATAACAATCCCTTCAACATTCCTAGACCGTTAATTATGAGATTCCTGTCAGCATCCTTAGATACCAGCCTTCCGAATTTATCTCCTTCGCATTCCAAAAAATAGCAACTTTACATTATTACTGATACTGTGAGCTTTCTGGTCTACAGTCTCTCCAGCATCCTTCTTAAACTTTGAAACCAATGGTCCCATTCTATCGCGCCATTCCAAATCTTACACAGCGAAGTTTAAGACTTACCGTGCGGAGGAATGATACGTCGTCCTGCTCGGAGCCACCCTCGCTGTCGGCCATCCCTTCGACGCGCTTTCACGCGACGACCCTCCTCCGTCTGCGTCACCCCTGCGCTCTCGTGCGTGCGTATGTGGGTGTGCGTGTGTATCTCGCGTGTCACTTCGTGTCCGAGGCACCCTTATCGATGCTCGAAGTGGACGCGGTGGTCATTCACAGTTCCGCGTGGACGGCATGCTCCCGTCACTACACACGGTTCCCCGGCCTCTTTGTCTTGTCAAGGACGTCGACGATGATGTCAACGTCGGCGCGCTGAACCGTCGTAGGGCACCGACGATCACCCACTGCTGATCGGATGGCACCCAGACCGCTCGCCGACGTCTCTCGCGCAAGCGCCCAACACCTTCAATCAAATTCCGCATGCTCGAGATTCCGTTAACGCGAAAAATCCCACGTTATGTGACTATGTTATATGGTTTTCGCATTACGCAGCCGTCCGTCTCACTGTGAAATATTTTTGAACAGTTTTTCTTTTTTTACCTTTCCAATAACCTTTCTAAATAACGCGATAGGGGTAAAGGGTGGTTTTCGAAGATGAAAACGTACGTCGTAAACGTGTTGTGTCACTTATATTGCAATAACTTAAAGTAGAATGGAATGGTCTTCTATGTGAATGGTTTTTTAATTTGACAATTTGAATTTTTCTGTTCTATATATTTGATTTTTAATTAAAGAGAAAAACTTGGCTCTTCATATTAATTGGATTCATCTTTAAATTAATCTTCGAAAATGGAGTAGCGTTAAGTGTTTCCAAACAGTTTCGTATGAACATTAATAATCCAAACAATTATTAATGTTCATATATGTTATTAAAATTCTAAAAGCACTTGACGAGACACATATATTCCGATGATTTTATAGTTATATAAAAATAGTTTCAAGCAAACACATCTCTTATTTCACTGATGAACGCAAAGGCGAGTGTTCATGAGTGAGTCATGAGTGAATGCTCCGACGGATTACGTTACAGAATTAGAAAGTATCTTGGATTACAAGAGCACAATCGGAAAATGTTATAAATAAAACGCCCAATTTAAGATTAATTTGATCTAATTCGCTTATATTGCGAGCGTAAAAAGCATAAATTTACTGGTTATTAATATTCTAGTTTCGATTTGAATATAAAAGTCAAAAATATCGATTAATGATATTTGCAAGCAATATTATTACACTAAATATAAGCGATAAATGGAATACAAGTTGTTAACATTAATTTAAGCACATTTAAATAGCTTTTAGTTTTCACACAAGTAGTACGAATAATAGTTATTTAATTATGGCGTTGCAATGAGAATAAGATTATAATAGTAGTTTGTTCTATAATTTGAGAATGTGTGTTATAAATACCGAATATTGTTAAATGATTTATTCAATGTTATAATTTTTGTGTTGAATTAAATTCTGCCGGTTTAATTTAATATAATATGTTCACTGATAAGCTTTTTACAATTATTAATTAATGTTTAATAATTTGTCATAATGTATACACATTTGTTATTTTCTTTGATTTTCATTACAGTGTGAATTACGCACAACATAGCACACGAAACATAAAAATAATTTTGCAATAAATATATATGATATTACATAAAAATTGTTGTTATAATATACATGCAGTAACGTTTTTAAAATATAAAAAATTAGAATCTTAAGATGCTTTGCTATTATTTCATTTATTTTTACAAAATTAAAGTCGTCGAGAGCGATGAAAATTACATTAAAATATTGAATACATTTCGTAATATTATATAATATCTTGTGTATATTTTGATTGAACACAAAATCTTTGTATTCTCTCTCTCTCTCTCTCTCTCTCTCTCTCTCTTTCTTTCTGTATCACATCTGAATAGTAAAAAAACCTAGTTTGGCAGCGACGCTGCAATGCATCGACACAGAATTGTCGATCGCCTGGTTGATTTTACGTTCTCTGAGAGTTTATTTCCAGCAACGCGGCAGAAATAGATGCATCCGCGATAGCTTACCGAAATATCCCCATATGAGACTCGTTTTCCCATTATCGTTTAATATGATAATTGAAGGTTAAAGATATTTCTTGTAAAGCGTATATATCTGTCTTCAAAAATTCTTAAATATTTATTTATAATAATTGAATCCACATGAATGGGTATTTATTGCACTTCTGATAAAATTGCTTCAGAATGAATTAAATAAAAATTTCATAGAAAGCCGATAAAATCTACATGTTCTAACATGTGTGCTATAAATATTTCGTTTATCTTCATCGTTCGCGGTATTAAATATTTTATCGGAAACGATTTACTATTACTCTACGATATTATTTTACGATGATATTACAAAGTAACATCAAAGTGAAATAATAGTGAAATAAATTTCCTCTGTCTGTAGTTGAGAGAGAGAGAGAGAGAGAGAGAGAGAGAGAGAGAGAGTACTTCAGAATTTTAATTGAATAATAAAAATGTAGCAATTTAAATTGTTAAAAAAAATACTTAAGTTTAAAAACGTTTTGAGTAATTTAAAATTAATAGATTTCATTGATAACTGAAGAATATTTCGTCTTTCGGAACATTTTTACGCCTTTTCGTCATTTCTGGCAGAGCTATTCCAAAAAGCAGCATTGCATAAGAATATAAAACTGACTTTCTAATTTTAAGACTGTCTGCTGAATTAAAAATTCGAAACGTATTAAGCTTTTTCTAACAAGTAATTAAGCATTTATCCATGTTATTATTTAACCAAGCTTATTTTTAAAATTAATAATAAAATATTTTAACAGGACTCTCTTCTTAGGACATTTCTTAAAATAATAATAATAACAAATTTAAGACTAATAAGAGTCAGCGCGGTAGAGGGTGCGCAGTATTAGTATAGAACGATAACTTAACTCCATTGTTCTACGATGCCTTCTTTATTATAAATTATTAAACATTAATTGTGACAATTGTAAGAAGCCCATCAGTGAACATATTGTATTAAATTAAACCGGCAGAATTTAATTCTCTATTCCAAGTTTTGAATGTGAGAATAATGGAGTCAAGTTATCATTCCATACTAATATTGTGCTGACTCTTATTAGCCTTGAATTTATTATTATTGTTATTTTAAAATTAATTTAATAATTATGTAGCGTGTATTAAAGCTACAAAATCATTGTCATGTTTGCATGATATTTTTTCATGGTATTTCAAGTTCTCTCATCATACAAAAGTCACATTAATAACACTACTCCTAATAACAAACTACTCCATAGAATTAATCAATTAGTTAAAAAAACTGGATTACTACGCAAAATAAAACACTACGTTTTTCCACATACACGTCACTCAAAGCATCACGCACATACACACAACACACGTACGCCCTAACAGGGTGCAACCGCTGGTTTTGGTCTTGAAATCACGTGTCTACGAATGAGAAGAGATAGAATTAATCGCGACGATTCACCCCGAAAAGACTCACCTCAGGATAACGTTTTACTTCGTCATAAATCAACGAAACAATTTTCTACGCAATCTCACGTAGAAATTTATGAACACACGCACTGCAAACGCATCACTATTGCACAAGGGCGCGAAAAATCGTATATCTTACACCCGCGGGCCGAGGGGTTCTCCGGGGTGCCGAGTCTCTTGCTTTCCTGACCGCTTTAAATCGGGCCCCCGCGACGGAATATTTGTCGGAGCTCGAGGAACTATGCTGAGCGGAGCTATGCTGAGCCGAGCGGAGCGACGACTATTTTCAGCCTCGAGCCGAGCAAACTGCACCGCTCCGCTCCGCGCGTTTCGCATCATGGCTGAGTAAATCTCGGAGACTCGCAATTGCGACGTTAGAATTAAGTATCGGAATAATTATTGGAATTATTATAAGGATTGTCAGTGACTTTTTAATTAATATGTAATAAATTAAAAAATATGAATGATTTTTATACGGCGTAGTTCTTTATTCGATGTTATACATTTTTTTAACAAATTATTTTTTGCATCGTTCTTAAAATTCATGTAGATCGTTAAAGAAATACTAACATAAAACTCTTGGTGGTCGCAATAATAAGTAGAATGATAGAAAATAATTATAACAATTGAATTTTTATAATTTTGAAATGATTATAAACATAACTAATATAAATCAAGGCTAATGAGAGTCAAACGCAGGTGATTAGGCGTAAGATATATATAACGAAATGCTCACATATCCAAAAAGATTGTGTCACTCACAAATTGCCAGAGATAAAGTGATATAAAATCTAGCGGTACAAAAAAACTGATTATTATGGAAGTAAAACATTAAAAAGTGGAGTAACTCACCTTAGTAGATGTGTCAAGGAGCTTAGATACATAATTATTCACAGAATTGCAATTTGTATAAAAAATAATCACAAGAAATCGCAGACATAAAGTGTCTGATTTCTTGTGACTACTTTTTATGTGAATAATTATGTGTTTAAGCAGTGTCTGTATTACATTACATCCATACCGTTAGAACATATCGCACATGTTTATAACAATATTAAAATAAACGAAAAGTTACATAATAAATATTTATTGCAATATTTGTTACATAATAAATATTAATATTATTATATTAAATTTGTTTCATCGTGGGATATTACACTTATCACAAAATTGTTTTTAATTTAAATAAGCCGTACAATTATATATCGTATAAGAAATTATGCACATACATATGTATATTTTATACATTTTGATTAAATAATTTATCAAGAAATTTTGGTAATTTTATCAAACTCGTATGTTTTAAACTAACTAATGTATTATGTTGGATTAAAACAGCAGAATTTAATTTGGTTGACATAAAAACTATCACGTCTAATAGATCATTTAGCGATATTCGGTTTATAACATTCTCAAATTTCAGCAAATGACTATTATAATCTTACTTTTGTTGCCATCGATCCTTGCCAAGATTTTCAACATAATATGTCATTGTCACGAGAACATGTAATAGAATATAGATTCTTCAGGAAATAAATAAAACAATGTATACACTAGAGCTCTCTATGTGCTCTATAATCATTCTTTATCGGTAAACATTAAAGAGCAGTAATCTGATTAGAGTTTGCATATTTATGTACTATTAAAAATTAACAATTGATAGATAAGTAACTTATTAAAAATTTACATCATGTGCCAGTGATTTCTAGGCAATTGGCTATTGAACATCTGTAAATTTTTAACAATGTCTCATGAGTTACGTGACCATCTTTAAACTTACCGCCGTCAGTTCTTGAATCTACACAGCGCAAAAGCTGATGTGTCTCGATAGAAACAGCTGATTGAACACGATACCGTTCCGCGTTCGTGCGTTCGTGTAGACGTATCTTTAGTTTTTCGCTGTTAGGTTAACGTCTCGTTAATTAATAGAATAATGTTGGGGAAAATAAAAACGAAACAGGAGAAAAGCGGCGGTAAGTGCGAGAATTATTTTGAAAATAAGTGCAATTGTGGTAAACGCAATAAAATTGAACAATATTATAAAGACTTTCTTGAGAGGTTATGTTTGTTATTTATATGTTGTTATTTATATGTTGCTGCGTTTAAATAGCAAATAAATAAATATTTATTTGCTATTTAAACGCAGCAACATATAAATTATAAATTAATAAAATCAATCACATTTTATCTAATTAATCCACGAAGTAACATAATTAATTAATTAATCGCGATCGATGAATCTGAATTGTTGAGTAATTTTCGTATTTCTAAAAAAGTTTTCATACCTGGTGAATATTTTTCTCAGAATTTTTTATATAATTTAAAAAAATGTTTACCTAAACTTCAGAATTTATGAATTGACTTTTTAGAACATTTCTTAGATTTTCTATACTCATTTCTCAAATCTTATATTAAATTATAACATTTTTCATAAGCGCTGAGAAAATCGACATCTTTTTTAGAAGTTCGTTGTATATGAAGAATTCTGAAATATATATTCTAAGGTTTCTATAATTTTTCGTTTTATAATTTCTAATGAAATCTTATCAAATCTGAATTATTGTAAGATTATTCAGAAATTATAGTATGAGAAATCTTAGAATATTTCATAATTCACATATATGAAAAATTCTGATTTAAAAAATGTAATTTTCTCAGTATTTCTAAAAGGTATTCCAATTTGTATAAAAATTTCCAAAATTTCACCAGAGATATGCAATAGAATATTGCTAAATCAATGGTCAACTAAAGCAGGTATTAAATATAATTATGTATTGCAGAGATTGTTGCATATAGCGAGACAGCTGTTGCAAACAACGCTGCAGTTGTAGAATATTGTAAGATCTCAATGGCAGCTTTGTCAGGTGGCACAGCAGGACTGCTAGGATTGACTGGATTGTATGGATTCGTGTTTTACGTTTTTGCAGTTTTCGGGCTGTGGGTAAGAGCACCATATTAGAATTAGCAATAATTGTATGTAATGTCACAAATCATCATCATAGGCGATGCTGTTGATGAAGGCTGGTGGCCAGTGGAGGAAATATTTTATTAGCAGGCGGCATCTGTTGACCAGTGGATTCTTTGGGGGACTTTGCGTATCCTTTACACTGCTTTCTAAAGTTTTTCTCTAAATTCTTTGAATCTCACTCTAAAAAATGGAAATTGAGCCAATTTTGGAAAAGGTTGGCTTAAATTTTAATTTTTGAGAGTGATATTTTACTCTAAAAGTTTTAGAGAGTTTATTTTCGGAGGCTGGCTTATATATATTTTTTCCTTAATGTGTGATTACAAAATTTTCTACAGACATACGTATTATTCTGGACGTATCCTTTTTTGCAATATAAATGATACAAACTATATTTCTATAGATACGCAATACTCAAACAGAACATGAATGATTGTGATATCAAAATGACATCAAAATGACTCCAAAATGATTACCAAAAGTTACTTTTTTTATCAATTACGATTTATTTTAATATCGTATATTTTGATGTTATCATAGATCTGTTCTTTTTAGCTAAAGTTTTTGTACAGTTCATCTTTCTTCCTATTCTCTCCAGGTTGGAGAGAAAAAGAAAAAAGCTGAACCGTGCAAGTAGTTCAGCTAAAAAAACATGATCCACGACTTGTTGTTCTGCTTGGTTGTTTCTGCTTAAGTACCAACACACACGATATAAATTTCTTAATGATTCTGATTCAGATTTTTATATGGAATGGTTCATGTCTATTGAAAAGAGGAAAGGTGGATAGTTCACAACAATTGTGACACATCACGTAATTATTTAAATAAACAAGGTTGCATAATTATTGTAATAAACCAGTCATTGTATTTATATTATTTAAGCCTTTCGGATACTGACCAAATAAATGATGAAGCGTTCACGCGTTGTTGTACACGCATGTCGATATGTATATAGAAAACACGTTTCTTTAAAACGATTACTGGCATTTTTTATCCAATATTTAAATGTAAAAGTAGAAAGACAATATAAAAACCAATGCAATAGAGATGTTACATAGGAACCATATTCTTTATTAGATGTATGATATATATAGATATATATATATTTGCATAATAAATTATTAATTACTAAATTATAATTATTCAATGAAGATTACTGGTAACCATATACATGTACCTAAACTTGCAACGTGAACACATTTATGTAAATCGTTATTTTAATCACCGTTATCAAGAGCTATTATTTAAAATAATATTGCAGTTATTATATATTACTTTTAATCAACACCATTAAAATAAAACGCTTAAATTTATTTATGAGATATTATCTTTTTAAAATATCTTCGATAAATGAATATTTTAAGCGCTTTGACGATTTTCGTGTCAGATGCATCCAATAATTTATTACATTATATATCTTTATTTTACTGTACATGTTTATTTCTGCGTACATTTGTTAATTCTAAAGTTATTCTAAAATAGAAGAATCTCACGCACTAAAGAAGAAAATAAGAAATTAAAATACAACTTCCGTTAGTTTGTACTTAACATGCTCACATTTTCTACTTCAATGTTTAACTTTATTCATTCGCTACTAGCTAACGCTCGCTACAAAAACGGAAACTTATATTTGTATGTCATTAGATAAGAATCATACCTATAGTATCCTTAATAATTATATGTATAGCTTACTTTGATATACGTTAAAAATCCACGGAAAAACCTTGATTTCGGCAGTGAAAATCAATCGCATTATACGAATATACTTAACACAGGGACGAGTAATAGTTCTTGCGAACTGACGGATAACATTCTTATGTCCATTTCCACCAATGTGTAGATTAACTTTAATCTCGGTTTTTAATCTCAGTTTAACTCACTTTTTATTTTTTTCTAGTTCTGAGAATTAGAAAAAGGTAAGTAGCGTTAAACCGTGATTAAAAAGTTAATCTGCATGGCAGAGACGAAGATTAGCGAAACAGCGTCATGTCTTTGCTGAAATCTGTAGAAAGACCTCAGATTTTCGTCTCGGAAGTTTGTTCATGCACTCCTGGCTCTTCTCGACAGCTCTCGGCGGCGATTTCGAGAGGCTTTCCGGTTTCCAAACCCTCCAGTCTCCTTTCTTCGTCCATCTTGTCTAGTTCCGCTTTGCTTAAGTGGTAGACTATTCCAGCCCCGTAACCGTCGCCCAAAACGTTGATAGAAGTCCTGATCCGATCCCTTGAAGCAAAATGATTGCTCTAATTTTACCGTTCTGTATCGAACCTGCTGTTCTCAACCGTCTATCAATTGTCGTCGACTACTAATATATATATAATTTTTAATAGCATATTCAAATTTTGATCAGATTAGTATTCTTCGATAATCGATAAAAAACGATTATGAGCATACAATGTATAGACATTATAATAGACATGTAACTTACAACATCCAGTCGATAGCGAATAACAAGGAAATATCGTTCGTAGGGAGACCTAAAGCAGTCAGCACCAACAGCATGGTGACTAGAGCTGCGCTGGGAATACTTGCGGCTCCAACGCTCGCCAATGTAGCCGTAAGACTGTAAAAAGAGCAAATTTTAAAGCAAAGTACTTGAATTTTTTTAATTCATTTATTAGATACATTGAAATTTTTTCTTTAATTTTAACTAATAGTTGGTGAAACAAAAGAAATCATATTCACAAAATACATATACCTGACAGTAATGACTTCAACGAATCCCAATGAGATTCCATTTAATTGTGCTATGAAGATTGCGGCTACGGCTTCATAAAGAGCTGTCCCATCCATATTTACCGTGGCACCGACTGCCACAACAAAACGCGTCACTCGCGGATCGATCTTGTTATTTTCTTCGAGACAACGAAAAGTCAATGGCAAGGTTGCAGCGCTATAAACCCATGTATCGATTATATTATTGCTATTCCTTCAAAAAGTTAGTCATGTGCTAGAAAATTCAATTTTATACACAATTGACTCCATAAATATAAATAAATGATAATATCACGATTTTCTAATTAATTTTGAGATAATCTCTGATTAATTCTTGAATTAACTTCAAAATAACAATCACGAAAACTCAAAATAAAAAAAAATTTCAGAAATGTTTTTAATTATTACCTCGAAGCGGTTCCTAGCGCTGTCACCCAGGCTTGCATCATACCTCTAAAAAATACTGCTGGATTCTTTCGGGTCATAAACCAGTAGATCAGCGGCAGCGTGATGATTGCGTGAATCATCAAGCCTAATACAACGGTTACCATATACAGACCCAACATTTGAGCGGTTGCCGCCAGATTTGTGATTGACATGATTTTTCCAGCTATCAGACACATAATTCCGAACGGAGAATACCTACAGCGATTGCCAATTGCATTGTCGTAAAAGAGAAAATAAAAGAAAACAGAAATGTTTTATTTATCTTAAATTCCAATACATTAAGTTAATATTCGTATTCTTATCGACTCATATATACCAGAAACTTGAACTAAATTTGAATAATGTACGATCAATTATTCCTTAAGATTATGTGAAATTATTTTATTGGCTTTTTATTATTTATTATTTATTTCTTATGTATTTCTATTTTTTATCTCAAACTCTAACTGTATATATATATGTATACAGGATCTAACAACTACCGCATTTCGATCTTCTTAAGAAAGTATTCTTGAGGTAATTTTGAGACACAAAAATCCTAATACAAAAATGTCGAGGCTACAATAGTTTTTTGAATTATATAATTAGTTAAAGATAATGTGTAATTCGAAAACTATACTATTATAGCCTCGATATTTTTGTATTAGAACTTTCGTCTTAGAATGTTTAAAAGAATCCAGAAATAATAATAGAGGCTATAAAAGTAAAATGGTTTTTGACTTTTAAGCATTTAAAGTTAGCTTATAATTCAAAAAATTATTGTAGTTTGACATTTGCATATTAGGATTTTCGTCTCAAAATCACCTCAAGAATATGCCCTTAAGAGGAAAGTGGTATATATGTACATATACAGGGTGTACCGACCTTTTTTGCCAATCACTTTGCAGATAGAGCGGATTAAACTGAGTCGAAAAGTCCTCTACTATTTTGCAATTTTCACAATAGTTAACAAGATATTAATTACTAAAAATTGCAAAATATTGGTCTTGAATAATTTTTTATTCAAATACTATCAACTTTACAGAAAAACTGTAAGAGACAAAAATTATTTATTTTCTTCTCGTAAAGTTCTGAGAATTTTTTCAGAATTTTTTAATACCGTATTTTCTCACGTTGATAAAAATAAGAAAATGCAGTACTAAAAAGTTGATAAAAAATTCTAAAAAAATTCTCAAAACTTTATATAAGAAAAAAAAATAATTTTTTACTCTTGCAGTTTTTCTGTAAAGTTGATAGTATTTGAGTAAAAAATTATTCAAGGCCAATATTTTGCAATTTTTAGTAATTAATATCTTGTTAACTATTGCAAAAATTGCAAAATGGTAGAGGACTTTTCGACTCAGTTTAGTCCGCTCTATCTACACAAAAGTGATTGGCAAAAAAGGTCGAGACACCCTATATATGTCAAATTAATAGTCACATTTTTATTGACTAGTATATTCCAAAAACTGGAAAATAAAGTGAATAATGTTATATTATACTTAATTATTTATTAAAGGACCCTGCACTAATCTTATGTAAAATGGATCCCAGTAAAATTGGCTGAAATTTTACTATAATGTAGATCATGATGTCCTCATCAAAAGTCTTCATGGGCACAAGGTTCAAAATGGACAGTTTTCGAGATAAGTTGGATATGAAATATTGGAAATATGGCTAAATTCCAACATTTGATTTCCAATATCTCGAAAACTGTCCATTTTTGGACCTTGTGCTCCTGAGGACTTTTGATCAAGACATCATGATTTACATTATAGTAAAATTTCAGCCAATTCGGCTGGGATCCATTTTACATAAGATTAGTGCGGAGTCCTTTGTGCTCGTGTAAAATTATTTATTTCATACCAAACAACGACGATCGTGACGAGTTTCATGATAATCTCATTCAACACGACGAAAAAATCCACCATCAGTTTGCCGCGTGGTCCTATCTGTCCCGCGAGTACACCGAAGATGATGCAAAACACGATCATACCCATCACATTTGTGCCGTCCTTGTAAACCAAGGTCGGCTCCACTATATATTCGCTTTGATTCGCGCTACCAATCATAACCACCTTTTTCTTCACATAGGAGGTCTGAACCTGTTGGAAGCACGCTTGAACCAGATTTTCCGGCACCATATTTCTAAGAACGAAAGATAACAAAAGATTTCGAACTTAAATTGTGACTGTGGAGCTATAGAGGCTGATTTTTCATACCGAATTATATCGAGAATTGCGTCTACGGTAGAAACTTTTGTCTCCTCAGCTTTCACCACCGCCGCGGCCGAAGTTTTAATCTGCGGATTACCCGGATGAATCATCAGCACCATCGCGATACCAACTATAGCGGCGAGAATGGTCGTTATTGAGTAGTACGTTAGTGCTCTGAATCCTATCCTTCCTGACCTTTGAACATCCAGCTGTGCCATTCCTGAAATAAGTAATTGCTTGTACCTCGGGGATGAGGGAGATATGTAGAGACAAGTTGAAAAGTTTTAAGCGTATAATAGATTTGTTTTTTTCATCTGAACTCTTTACACGGTTCATCTTTCCTCTTTTCTCTTTATATTGGAAAAAAAAGAAAAAAAGATGAACGCTACAAGAAGTTTAGAACAGGCATAATATCTTTGCTATTTCAACACAAAGCTCTGACGTTCGAAATTAAATTTTTGTTTTTAAGCTTTAAGCAATTTTAAATTTTATCTTTTCCTTTCCCATTTTCTATTCATTATCTGCTCAAAAAGGGATTGTCGGTGAATTATAATTACCGGATATTAACGATGAGATGATGAGTGGCAAGATAAACATCTTCAACATCCGCATAAGAAGCTCTCCCGGGAAGCTGACGAGGGTTATAGATTGCGGTGTAAAATCTGCCAATCGACCCAGAAACCCGAGAACTAGACCCATCAAAACTCCAGCGATGGTTAGTGCCAGAAGCAAGTTACTTCCCATCCATTCTATCACCTACATTCCCCACAACGCGTAATAAATTTTATTAAGTCACACCGCGTGATATTTTTCTTCCCGGAGCAAATAAGATTCCATGAAAGTTAGTTTCGAGCACCATATACCCTTTGATCACTTTCATCACGAAGATAATTGAGAAAATAAATTGAAAGTAATAAGGACGGATTACGCACTAAAAATTGTATTGATTCTACTATAAAAATTTGATTCTTGAAAAAGTTTACTGACCATCTGTAACCTATCAAGCGCCGTCACTTTGTGCCGCGCTTCGGCCTCGATTTCTTCCTCAGATGTCATCTTCTCGATCTCCTCTACACACGACCTGGAAGATATTCCAGGTGAAAAGCAGCCCGAATTTTTGGTAAAAGCATAAGAAATCTTTTTACGTATGACTGCCGCTCTCCTTGGCCTCCGTCGAGGCTCCCCGGAGAACTGCAACCGCGCCGGAAATACGTTGCCCCAAAGACATCCTTCAGGCTTCTGGAGACACGTCGCTTCAAGATTTTAGGTGAAACGTAGCACGAGGAATGTCGAAATAGGCCTCGCGAGTCTTCATCCCGCGGCTTTTATAACTGCGTTATGCCTTTTCACAATGCGAATCATTCTGATTTTATTCACTGGCTTCCACAATTTGTCTGGATTACTAAATGTAGAAGAAGTGGGTATTATTCCTGTACGATAGTTCTTTCATAAGTTTGTCTATGTCAAGAATTATTAAAGAATAAAATTACTTTTTTTTAATGCAATTAAATTACTTAAAGATTTACAGGGTTAAAAATATTCTATTTTTATTACTCTTTTAAAAATAACTTCTTTTTAATGCAATCCCTTAGGAAAAAGTATCTCAATATACTGAATAGTTAATCAGTATATTTAAACACTTTTTCCCAAGGGGATTAAATTATTTAGAACTTTATAACGTTATATGAAAACTTCTATTTTAGTACTTTTTTTAGTGACCTTAAAGAAAATGGTAAATTTAAAATTTAAATGCTTTCACTGTTGTAGCAAAAAATGCTTATGAAAATCCGTAATTATCTTCCTGAATTATCACGATCCTCCGCTTCGCTTCCTGCTCTTCGTATTTTCTATAGAAAATCAAATTCGACAAACGAACAATTCTTCTCGCGAACGATTATCGAGGCACGTGCGAACTGTTCGGTAGCGCATCGCGACACAGGACGATCCTTTCACGTGAACTACCGGGAAGCATCAGGGCAAATTGCACAAGCGCACGGTGGAACGCTGGCCCCGATGATGGCGGGGGAGGGGGAGGGGGTGGTGAGACGAGGTGGTAAGGCCCCGAAGGAGGTCACAACCGATCTATTACGTTCAGGATCATTGCACCGCTTCAGTTGCGGGCGCGAGTGACATCCGCAGAGCTTCCGACGTTGCTTTTCGTGCGCGCGATCGACTGTCGAGAGATCGGATAGATCTGCCGCCACGCCGCGCCGGTCCGGTGCTCCGGTGGGCTAGGTATCGCGCCGCGGCGTTGGGATCTGCCTGCAATCAGGCCGATAATGTGCCCCATCCAGGAAGTTGATTAGTGCGCGCGTCGGGGGAGGCCTCGGGGAGACGAAAGGCACGCACCGAAAGGGGAAAGGGGGACGCACGGCGAGATGAACGGAGATGTGTCACGAGGAGAAAGAGAGACCGGTAGATCACAGGAAGAAGGCACTCATCGCGGCGGGTCGCACGGCACCGAATAATAAACGCCGAAGGGAGGAAAAATGCCGCTGCCCGGTACATTTCGTAAAAATCGCTGCTTCACGTAAGGCATTCTGAAATGAAGGTAGAAACAATTAAAATAGCGCTGTATGGAGAGGGAACTGCTTTGACGATGATATCGGAGCATGAAGAGTGATGAACACTAGATATCTTGTAATGCGCAATATTCAATTTGAAAGATGTGTGTGAAGCTGAAATACGAACATTGATAGACAGAATAAATATATAATTATATTAATCCCCGATATATATATATATATATATTATATATATATATACAATATAGATAAAATAATACAATAAGACTGTCAACGTTCATTATGTAGGATGTGCTTATTTACGAGACAAGTATTTTATATCATTAATTGCAAGTTGTATTGTATTTTAAAAAATTACAATATATGCACATTATTATAATAAGTGACATTAGTAGACACATTAATATACACATGATATAGATCTTGTTTAACAATAAATATATAAAATTTGTTTTAAATTGTTATCAAAATTATATTAAATTATTGACATATTAATTTATATTGAATAAATATAAACTAAAACAAGTTGTTTTAGTGCGATATAATATATTATATAAATGTTAATACATTACAATTATGTTTTCAAATGTTTCGACTGGTCAGCTTCATTATTAATGATTAATAATTAATAATTATTTACATTATAGTGCAATCAAACACATATGTTGTAATAATAGGACAAAATAATGTATTTGTACAGTATAAACGAAGTAATCTTGAACGAACTTTTATAATGCGACAACAGGAAGACAAATGCAATCGGTAATGAAGAACAAATATAGTTAACACAACTTAATATTGTAACAATAGACAGGGAAAGACATTAGAACAATATTATAATTTTTCACTAAAGATGACTAGAGTAAAGGTCGAAACGTTTGAAAACGTAATTGTAATGATATTAATATTTATATAATATATTATATGACACTAAAACTTACGTATTAGCTCCAATAACCCATTGTTATATTATTGTAATTCATTTAATTTAATTAAGTCATCAAATTATATGGTCGATATCGACTGTTAATTTATATTAAGCGATTTTTTAGCTTATATGTTCTTCTTTTTTAACTAATTTTTCTACTGTACTATTCTGACCAAAATTACGTCTATCCAGATAGCAACGTGTCTGTCTTGTTAATAACATGTTGCTTGCTAAGTACGTATTGCTAAGTATGTGTTGCTATCGAAATTACAGCAACTGAGTCCTCATTTGTTCGGCAACTTGATGTCTTCACGATATGATAACATTGAGTAGCAACTTGCCAGCAATTTGCCGACAACTTTAAAATCATTATCATCAAAATTCGTACTATTGCCATCATGTTGTCATAATAATATGCAGCGTCATACAATGCTGTCTTATTGCGGACAACGCAAGATAACATTGACACAGCTATCTTGCTGTTAAACTGCTGGCAAGACATATAAACATTGTTGTCTGCATGTTGCTACAATGTCGGTATATTCGAAATTGTTGAAGATAAATCTACGGCAAGTTGCTAGCATCATAAGCAATCACAGATCTGTGCGATTTTGCCGAGACACGCTTTGCTATCTGGATACCTAAATTTAAATAGACATCTCAAAAACATCATATGATATGATTCTGTTAGTTTCATAAAACGTCTACGAAGTTTTAAAACATCTCTTAGATGAATTTAAGATATCAAAATGTTTTCTCTCTTTGAGATTTTATTTATAGAGAATCATATGGTAATATATTACAATTAATTATATTCTATTCAGCTTTTGCATATTTCGGGGGAAATCATCGATTTCCAAACTTTCGTGAACCTGACAGTGATAAAAGATAACAGTTACGCGGAAATATTTGCGCGTAATTGTTTTAGATGCATGTAGGATACGACCATTTACAAGACCCCTTTGTATATCCGTTGGGAAGTAACCTAATTCCTCTAGCAATGACGGCTATATGAGTGACTATATATAGACTAACATCGGGTTTACGGTGGTAGTATAATACGAGGACAAATCGAATCTCCCCACGATAACGCGTTTAACATCCCGTAACTTCTGAGCGAAAGAGCGAGCCATTCGAGATAGAATTAATTAATGTATTTGAGAAAATTGAGTTACAATTGTCGTCGCTCGTGCATTCCATCTGCATAAATTCGATTTCATTTCCTATCTATCTCGTGTGCAGTTTATCTTCTTTTTCGCTATTTGTATTTTGAAACAAATTATAAATTAATTGAAATTAATTTCAAAGTCGTGTTTATAATTGTTGCTACATTTTCATTTACAAAGCCAAATGTTTAATAATTATGTAGAATTAAATTCTTTCGATTGGTTGCTTGATTCCAAATGTTAGATTATATAGTTAGATATAAATGCGATGTTGCTGTGAATTGAAGAAATATGCTTCTATGCGAATCTACATGAAAGCGATTTTAATAATTTTCAGATAAAGTAAATATAATTCTATTAAATATAATTCAGACAAAATGAATATAATTCTATTTTCTACAATCCACGTACACAAACGTTTCGCGGTTAAGATGATCGAATCATTTATTACTGTTTAAACAATCCATTATTATGTTGTATAATGGCAAAACTGCGATCAAGAAAAAGAATTGACAAAGTTAATTAAAGATACATTAAACTAAATCAATATATATATTTTGTTATATATTTTATAATACCATAACCTTCGATATGTTCTACGTACGAATGCAACTGAATGCAACATGCGCTCTCAATTTACCCGCGTTTCTGCGCACGACTGTCACGTAGTCGTCACGTGGTCCCATCACGTGGTTCGCTCAGCAACGAAAACAGAGCAGACGAAAATTTCCCACGTGTTGCATGCTCCATTCAACTGATTCAACACGCATGTTCACGCTCGCATTCGCGATGTCTAATGGTTCGAGACGTGAGCAATACTTTCTCTATAACACTTTGTCGATCCTGCTAAAGGCCGTAGAGAAGACTCGAACGACCGTAGACCTGCGGAATGAGGCGACAATCGTCGGCATTATCGAAAATACTGACGCGTAAGTAAAGGGTTTTGTTTCTGCTGCGATGTGAAGTTGTCGTACGTGTTAGGTCTACGGGTCTAGGGTGTATTCCATTTCAAGCATCATGTGCATAATGCGTCATTTATCCTTGTTTAATTGCTGAGGAACAAGACGTCTCTGCTTTTTATTGCTGTACTTTCTGAATCAATACACACAGTGCAATAAGTTGAAGTGAAACAAACGTATATTTGTTTCACTTTAACTTATTGCACCAGTTCAGAGTGCAGCAATAAAAAACAGACCTATAGATAAATGATGTATGCGTGAAACGGAATGCATCCCTAGTACCACTTCTACCAATGTAAGATTAATTTTGTCTTGTTTTAATTTACTGTTTGTGTTTATCTTTTTCTAATTAAAAATTCTTAGAATGAATCAAGATTAAAGTTAATCTTACATTGATGAAATCGGGTCTTGCAGAGCTCGTTGTTGTATTAAGAAATTTTCTCTCTGTTTTTAATGATAAAATGCATATAAAAATCGAAAACACCAACGATGTCCCTAAATTCTTTCCTCGAAAATGTCAGCAATTGAACTCCGAAATTATTAGAGCTCTTCCCGACGACTTCGTTATATTTCTAAACATATCTCGTTTTTATTTTGCAGTTATATGAACATTGTGATGAAAGACTGCGTGTTTACGGATCCCCGCGGAGACTCGTTCAAATATGACATGTTCTTCGTGCAGGCACGGAACATCCGCAGCGTCCACGTGCCAATGAACGTGAGTGCATCGAAATCCTTTTCTCCTTTAACGATGACTATCTCCGTGTCGAGAATTTTGTCCCGTCTTGGCGAGAGTGAAGCGTACAAGTGATCGATCGCACGTTGAGGTTATGTTGCGTTTCGTGACTACAAAACCGGCCTTTCGTTCGCTCCTTGGATTACTTGTCTAAGCGTGCTCGGGACATCGAAGTATTTAGGGTATCTAGAGCTTAGGGTATTTTGTACTTCAGAGTTGCTCAGTCTGACTGTGAAACGTACCTGTAATTGCCGGCTCGTGTGCCGCTCCATTTACTCATACCTGCTGAATTATTCAACTGCATCATGCTAACGTACATCCATTGCTATTGTCTAACATGATTGATGCCGGTAATTGCACTTGGATATGATTAGAAACCTGAGTTTTTATCGTACTGTCAAGTTATATAAACACAGACACTCTTCTATACGTAAACAAGTGAAACAAGTGACTGATAAAATAGAAATACTTCCTGGTACAACTGTGTGTTCGATTTCTAACGACCGGTACAGTTTCGCGTGTAGTAATCCCGCCAAAAGCGGCGATATGGACGCGTTCAAATTCACAGACTATGATTGCATCGGTTTCGACCTGGATAACACGTTGCTGCGTTATAACGTCACGAATCTGGTGTGCATAGAGTACGAGATACTAGCCAGATTCCTGGTGGAAATACGGGGATACAACGAGAGTCTGCTAAAGCCATTGACGGATGACGACTTTGACTTCATGCAAAAAGGATTATTGCTGGACTTGGAAAGGGGAAACGTGCTTAGGATAAGCCCAGATGGTGTTATTCGCAGAGCATGCCATGGCACGTGTTTGCTAAACATGGATCAAATAAGAGAGATATATCCTGAACAGAGATCAGAAATCACGGATATTTTCTGCCGCGACGTAATGGCAACCTGGAACGGTCCTCTGTCAGAGAAAGTCAGGAGTTTGCTGGATTATTTCGATATAGTGACGAGTCTCGCATTTGCACGGGTTGTAGACGCACTCGACGAAGAACATGGATCACCCTTGGACAGATACAATATCTGGCCTGACATATTGGCTGGGCTGTTCTACATGTTCTCTAGAGAGCACTTCCAATCGAGCAAGGGGATCTTTGGACACATCAAGAGAAATCCGGAGAAATATCTACGTAAATGCAGCTCGAACACGATCTCGTGGTTGAAAGAAACAAAGAAAAAATCCGCGACCTTTCTTCTTACCGGATCAAACGCGGATTATGTGAGTTTTACTGCGAGTTACGCTCTCGGAGACGACTGGCAATCACTTTTCGATATTGTAGTATGTTTCGCGAGGAAGCCAGGATTTTTTATTAATAATCGACCATTTTTCGATGTTATAAATAATAATGAAACCGATACCACGAGTCAAGATTTAAAACGAGGTGAAATGTATAGTCAAGGAAACTGGAATGAACTACTGGAATTTCTCGCTCGTATAACAGGGAAAACAAATCAGCAATGTTTGTACGTTGGCGATAATCTCATACAAGACATTTATGTACCAAATGCATTTGCACATTGTGATACTCTAGCTGTGATCGAAGAACAAATGTCGGAAGGAATGCTTCATCATGCTTTGACTCATCCAGACGAAAAGATTTTAAATTCGAAGCTTTGGGGATCTTATTTTTGCTTAAAAGATTCGACGATTAATGTAGACTCTTTGTGGGGCCATATAATAAAGAAACACGCGAAGCTATGTATACCAGATATCAGTTTGGTAACACAGAAATCATTGGAGGAACCTATTCCTTGTTTTGATAAGGATGGAAAGTTATATCGCGGATATTATCCTGCTATACCACTTAGTGTATCAGCCATGTAAAATAAGAATGAAAATATTAGGATTAAGTATGTTATGTCATTCGTAATATAAAGAAACAATTTTAGCTTAAAAATTTTTACAAGTATTAGAAAAGTTTTAAGTGCTTAGTTTGTAAAACTTTTAAATATATAATGTACATTCGTACATCTTATTCTGTTGTTAAAAACCGTAATCTCTGATAAAATAGAGCAACTCATCTTTATGTTTACGCGTTTTATTATCTAATTTAGATATATTTTTTAAGATACGGATTATCCCAGCTATCAAGCAACAATTAAATCGACTAAACCGACCTGCTTGGAAAGATAAGAAACGCACTTTCAAAACAAAATATGCTCAGCAGCGACAACAGGAAGGCCTTGCAGCTGTAGAAAAAATTTTAGAGGATAGGAATACAACAAAAGATGAAACCACAAAAAGTGAAGATAAATGAGACTTGTAAAGATTCTAATTTTATTGTGTATTGCCTAAGTATATGATCATTTTTATTTTGGTTGAATGTTTGTACTTTGAACTTTAAACTTGACAGCTCAGTTTTGCAATATTTCATGTAATTTACATTTCTGCATTTTTATACAAAATTTTATTATGTGAAATGTACATATATTTTTAAAAAAGGAATTACAAAATAAATATTCTATCAATTCAATGTGTACGAATATTGTAATAGATCCCTTTATTCAATGTATAACATAAGAAAAAGGCCATTTTTTAGCGAGAAACGCTTTAATAAGAATATAAGAAATTTTGTATAAGATATATATATTAATAGGGAAGACATTCGTTATTTTCTTTCAACAGCAATGGCAATGCCCATTCCCCCTCCTATGCATAAAGATGCAACACCTTTTTTCTTTCCTGTTCTTTCTAAAGTATGTAACAGAGTGACTAGTATTCTTGTGCCTGAAATATAAAATTTTGTCATAAAATTTCTTTGGAGTTCTTTTAAAGAAAGTTCAAGCATTAATACGTACCTGACATACCAATAGGATGACCTAAGGCGATAGCACCGCCATTTACATTAACTTTCTCGGTGTCTAATCCGAGTTCTTGAATACATGCGATTGCTTGTGCAGCAAAGGCCTCATTTAATTCATAAAAATCCACTTCCTCTTTTGTCCAGTTTGCTTTTTTTAACTGAAATAAGTACACATTTTAAATCATAATATCGTGTTGAAATAAAAGTAATCAAAACATAAATGCGATATACTAACTACTAATTTAACAGCTTCAACAGGTCCGATGCCCATAATTTTAGGTTCAACTCCAACCTGTGCAAATGCAACAATACTGGCTAGTGGTGAGATTCCTCTATTTGCGGCAGTTTCCTCAGACATGAGCACTACGGCAGCCCCACCATCATTTATACCGGATCCATTGCCAGCAGTAACTGTACCATTACTCTAAATGCAGTATAATGATTCCAAACGCATGTTATCTTCTTTCTACACAATTATATATTTATAGATATATGGAATATTATATGTACATACCGGTATAAATGCTGGTTTTAATTTTGCAAGTTTCTCTGTGGTCGTTCCAAATTTCGGGAATTCATCTTTAGACACAACACAAGTTTCCTTTTTGGTTGCAATAGTTACAGGAACAATTTCCTTATCGAAATATCCGGCGTTGATAGCAATCTCTGCCTTCTGTTGAGATTTGCACGCGTAATAATCTTGTTTCTCTCTGCTTATTTTGTACTGTTCAGCAAGATTCTCAGCTGCCAATAATTGATAATAAAAATGAAAATATATAAAATTTAAATTTTCCTAGTGCAAAAATATTTAATTATAATATTTTTTTGTCTTGCCTGTGACTCCCATGTGAATATTATGAAAGGGATCTATTAGAGCATCTTCCAATAGTGTATCAACTAAATCGCAACTTCCAATTTTCACACCAGATCTGAGATAAGTGGCATGCGGTGTTCTACTCATAATTTCCTGACCACCAGCCACAACTATATCGCTTTCCCCTAACTTTATAGAAAAGTAACCATTCATTACAGATCTGTAAGACATGTAATATGTTATATCAAATATTTCAGGTGATTTTTTTCTTAACTGTATGTATAATATGGAAATAAGTCTGTTTTTTATAGCTGAACTAGCACTCTTTGTACTCTTAAAGTGAAATAAATTTATATTTAATATTTGGCAAGAGTGAGAAGGAAAGTTCTAATCCAGTACAGCAATAAAAAACAAACCTAATATCACATGTAGAGCAGGTAGACGTACTTTAGACCGGAACCACATAACATATTTATTTGACAAGCAGGTACATCGACAGGTATGCCAGCACGTATCGCTGCTTGTCTTGCAGGATTTGGACCTTCAGTTGCAGAAAATACCTGGAAAAAAATGCAATGTTATAGAAATGCCTTAATGTATATGAATTTAATTGTACTTAAAAATATATATAGTTTAATGCTTTATTTCTTTTAGAATTATGAGTACCTGTCCCATAATAACTTCAGAAACATCTGATCCTTCCAGTCCAACTCTTATTAAGCATTCCTTGATAGCGATACTTCCCAATACTGATGCTTTCAATGAAGATAAGGACCCACAATATGATCCTGATTTATAGAACAGTAAATTTAATTATTGCAAATACAAGTTTTATATTTATAGCATTTTCTGTAGGAATAATATCCTATAGAAGTATTCAAATAAGATGTAAATTCGCTACTTTGGTGCACAGCACAATTATTAATATTAGTACGTTATGTTTTTACAAACTATTTTTTGTTCCACAATTATAGTTTTTTTAATGTATCTATAATCGTATTCAGCATGTATTTAAAATACTTTTATTTGAAAAACAGTATTTGTAACAAAATTGTATTTTATATTTTGCGTTTTAAATACTAAGATTGATAATCAATCTTATTATTTGAATTATAAATTACAAAATACTTTCAATCTTTTGATTTGAAATACAAAATACAATTATATTACAAATATTGGGTTTAAAATAAAAGTATTTCAAATGCATGCCCAGCCCTAATTGTATTTTGATACACTAGTTACAAAAGATATAACCTGAATGAATGTCCAAGAGAGGGTTTGTTAAATTTTTATCGCGTATGAGAGAATTTTGCGTAAAATATCGTCGAAATTTATTTCATTGATACTATTCAAATTCAAATTCCGCAATTGTTTAAATTTCAATAATTTAATATTGCAAATTATTATACAGAATTTTACTAACTGCGTATTTCATTATTAGTGTTTTACCTATGGGTGTCCTTACAGCAGATACAATCACCACAGTGCGATCGCTCATTTTATGACAGTGGGCAAGCACGACTTAACTTATTGAGAAATACAGAAAGACTGCCACGTCTCGACTGCATAACGGAATTATATTAGCTCTATGCCGTGTACCAGGAGCGGCTACATCGTGAAAGTGTGTCATGCCGAACATGTACCTGCGCGGAAGAAAAGCGGAGGATAAAGGAGGGGAGCTCTTGACAGAGCTGTTTTTGAGTCTTTCGACATGTTCAAGAATTTTACAAAAAATAAAAGATACAATTGCGACGTATTGCATTTTATAAATCTAAATATATCGGAATTATGACGAAAATCGAATAACTAGGACGTATAATGCGTGACGAAAATGATAAGAAAAAATGACATATGTAAAACATACACGATAAGATTTGAAAAATAATGACTAACCTTGACCAAATAAATTAGGAAATAGGAAGAAATATAGTAACTCCAACTGAATGCTGTAATGACACAATTAGTGTTGAAAATTTTATTTCGTGTAATATGCTGAGACGTATGAAAGCGAATTCACATAATCACCCAGTAAAAAATTTTTCACACATAAATATGTATAAATATGTATAAATATGTATAAATATGTATAAATATATATAAATATTCATAAACATGTGTAATCATATATGAATTATATAATATGTCCATACATGTTCACACATCTCTCTTTCTTTTGTAAAATTATTTTTTAGTGCAATAGAAATAATAATACTAATGTGAAAATATTATAAAAATAATTAAGAGTAATTTTCACACTATTTGTTTTAGAAAAAATCAAGTTTGAAGAAATATAAAGATGGAATCACACAATGCTTGATTTTTTGATCGATAAGCATGTATGCATGCGTGCAAAAAGTGTATGCTGCTATGTTTGTTTGATGCATAATAAATATAAAAATCAAATGATTTTAATATTTATTAAGCCATGTGTCCACGATGCTAGAAATCGGTCCGAGACCTCGGATGAAGAACGAATTGACCAATCGCAATGGTCATGTGATCAAATTATTCAAATGTGTTAATCTTTCCCTGTTCGAGATTTCGGACCGATTTCTAGCATCGTGGTCATCGGACTTTATGGATTACTTCACAGCTTATTTCCTTGTATGCACAATCAAAAGAAACAATTGTTAATTTCATAGTTATTGGTCAAACGTTATGGCCGCAGCACAGACTCTTGCATAACGCATAATGCATAGTGCATAAGGGAATCGACCAATCGAAATTCTTCTTTTCCATGGAATGAGAGAAAGCTTCTGATTAGTTGATTCGCTTACCCCGGATCTACAATAGGGTTTTAAGCCTTAAGCCATAAGAAATGGGCGAATCACAGTCGCTTATTCTTCTCGGATTCGACTGTAAATGGTCAGTTTCTTACGGCATAAGGCATAAAACACCTATTGTAGATCCGGACTTATGCACTATACGTTATGCGTTATACAAAAGTATGTGCTGCGGTCTTCAGACTGTATACATCACAGCATAGCAGCATACACGTGTGTATGCATGCGCATACATGCTTATCGGGGTCAAAAAGTTATTATAATTTTTGAGAATATTGTACAATATTTTTTAATGTTGTGAAAGTATTTTATGGATGTTATAAGACTACTTGTATAAATATTCTTGATATATTTTTTTTGACATCCCTGAAATATTATTAAAATATTTGTTAATATTAATTATTTTTATATTAGTGTAGTTCGAATTCACAATCCAGTAACGAAAGTCTTATCATTTTTATTATCTATGCTGCGTTTTATGCTTAAAAAACGTTTCGATGTGATTTTATGTACATATCCAGTCTTACAACTGCACGCCAAAATTATTTTCAGTCTTTAAACATATATTTAAACTGAATTGGTGTAACAGTTTTCAAATTAAAATAAGCGTTATGATACTTGTTAATGTTCATACAATATTACAATAACACTAAATAATGTTATTTTTAATAATCATGTAATATTATTAGGAGTGGATATATAACTATCCATTAATATTTCAAGAATATTATTTAATATTATATAATTTCATTAAAATATTCTTCAAATGTTACGTTTAATATTCTGGAAATATGCCTAAAATATTATTTAATATTAAATAATATTATGTGCCTATAGGAGCAGCATTGTTCACTATACTTGAAATTCCTATGTAATTATATATTTTGATGGTCCAACAAAATTATTTTCAGATCTGTATCTAGGGAACTAAATTATTAGATATTTCAGTAAAATCTTCCCTTCCATGTAAGAAT